CAGGGGGTAACATACCAGAATGCTCAAGACTGACCATGCCTCGGTCCCAGTCTGCTTCCCAGGTCAAGAAGGAACCATGCATGGCCTTTCTTAAGGGAGGAAATTCCATTCTGTTGGGCTAATCTTTTAGTCATCGAGATTTATTTTGAATATAATTTAAAGTATAAATATCTGGTGTTTGTCTACATGAGGATTGCTCAACCTAGACAATGTCGATACTTTTTGGCCAGATCACTTTCTGTTGAGGAGAACTTTTTTATGTATTGTTGGATGTGTAGCAGTGTCCCTGGCCTCTGGTTAACTCTCTCTGCCTATGTCCTCCATGTACCTCCAATCTATTTGACATAGACCTTTCAGGTTAATATTTCCAAACAATACCTCTAACTTAGTGGTTCTCAATAGAAAGCAACCTCCCCTCACACCAGGGGACATTTGGCAATGTCTGGTGACATTTTTGGTTTTCACAACTTGATGGGGAGGAAGAATAAGCTGCTATAGATATGTAGTGGGTAGAAGCCAGGGTGTTACAGTGTACAGGAAAACCGCCCCCTGCCCCCGCCCTCACACCAAATAAATGTCCAACCCCAAATGTCAATAGCGCCAAGGTTGAGAAACCTTGCTCTAGCATATCGTTCCCTGCTCAGAAACTTTCCATTGTTTCACACTGCTTGTCAGAAAGATGACAGATTTCATGACCTCTCCTGATGTAGATTCAGTTTATTATTTTGTCAACTATAGCTCCTTTTTGGAAACAACTCTGAATGTTATGCTTTTTCTGAAACATGTCGTGTGCTTTCTCACTCACATAACTTGGCTCACACCAACCACTCCCTCTGCCTAGAATGCCCACTTCCCACTACTAAAGCCAAGTTGAAATGTAGCATCTACAAAGGCTTACCTGAGCTCAAATTTTCCCAGCTGCAAATAATTCCTCCTTCCCTGGATATTCCTATAGTATTTTACACATATATCTCTTAAAGCACTTATCATAGTCATACTACAATAGAAAATATGAACTGGAAGGGGCTTTTAGAATTCTCTTCAGTAAGTCCTTCCACTAAAAACAAAGGAAACGGAGGTCCAGAAAGGTGAAGTAATTGGCTGAAGACATTGTATATTCTCGTAAGACTTGGACTGTAGCAATTTGTGTTCTTGGTTTCATTCTCCTAGCATGGTTGAAATGGATGATCATGAACTTTGAGTTAGGTCTGGCAGTCAAATTGCAATTCTGACACTTATAAGTGGGCCAAGTCATCTACCTTTCTGAAACTCAGTTCCCTGAGCAGTAAATGGAAATAATCATGGCTATTATGAGAATTAAATGAGATTGTGTATTAAAAATGCCTAGCATATAGTTGGTACTCAATACATGTTTGTCAGATGAAAATAAGGATCAATAGTACTTTAAATAATGGGATTTAGGAATGGATGATGGTCCACAGGACTTCACTAAAAGGCGACAAGAGGTAAAATATGGCAACTCATTGCCTCCTGCTCCCTACTTTCGCACCCTTCCATAGAAGGTTTCCTCAGTGAGCCATCAGACCAGCATGCAAGTTTTCTGTGGAGTAACTGAGTGCTTACAGTGGCTCTCCAAATGGTAAGGTAGTTCTTAAAAGGTCTGCTTTTTCTTTTTCTTTCACAATGCCGATGATATAATCTCTTCCTTTCCTCCGGTAGATAACAGGTAGAGTTGTGGGGAGGGATGTGGATGTAAGAGATATTTCCCCTCTTTCTCCTTAGTTTCCTTTATGACAGCAGCCTGGGGCTTAGATGCCTTCAGAGGTCTAACAGGAATCTCTGTGAGAGGGAATTCACAAGGCACTTGGGATGGCAATAGGAGCACTTTAGTGTTGGCTCCTAGCCCAGTGATACCTGGTTCTGGCTTCAGTGAGGTTTATTGGGGCCTTTCTAGCCAGTTCTTCACTCTGGAGCTGACCACTCTGTCAGCTTTCTTCCTGCCTAGGGCTTTGGGGTAATGGCATGCTATGCATTTATTCTCTTCATTCAGAGAAATGAGTCTTTCCCTGATCCCAGGGTGCATGTACCTAATAGAAATATCCTTGCTCCTCGAATGAGGGGATGACCTGACAGGCAGCTGAAGAAACAAAATGAGACTTTTGATGTCTTACCTAGACCAGATTTGGAATAAGCTGGGGAGGATGAAGTTGCTTGACAAAGGGCCCACCTCAGAGCTGGCTCCTGTCTGCTCTGCCAGGTGAGTACAAGAGATTTTTGTTGGAGGGGGTTAGAAGAGAAACTCAGGTGAGTCTATTACAACTTGACTTAGGAACCCCCCTCCTTAGGGCTTACAGGTCAAGGGTCCCGTAAGAGGAAAATGCTTTTGGGTATGATGAAAAAACCTGCAGAGGGCAGAGCACTGAATTGGGAGTAAAGAGACTTCGTCTGGATTTCTGCTTCTACCTCTCTGTTTCTGAGAGAGTTCCCAGGGCTATCACCTGAGCCTCATATTATGGTTTGTGAAGTAGATGCAATAAAGTCTGCAGTCTTCCTCCCAGTGATGGCAGAAGTTGAAGGTTTTCCAGTCTCTGGAGTTTTCACTATGTGAATTCCAAAACATTGTTCAAACCTTCCTACTTTGTGTATGTGAACCAGGGAGTCTGTGTGTGCATGAGTGTGTGTGTGTGTGTGTGTGTCTAGGGGGAGGAACAACAAGGCGGGGATACAGCTCTATAGGCTGCTTGTCTCTATACGTTATTCTTCAGTTTACTGTCTTCAGAGTCCACCATTGTTGTTCTTGTTTAAACTACTTTGGAGATAGTTGAGCTCCTTTCTCAAAGGAGGCTTCTCTTTCAAATTTGCTCTTTCTGAGGTTTGCACTATTTTCATAGCTGCTGTAATTGGGCTTTCACCATGATTTTGGGTGGGACCACAGGAGTTCAGGAACTTATATGACTGCCCAGGTCTATTGGTAAAGTACTATTTCCTCTGAAGGACTGTAACACTTGACACTGGTCATAAGAGGGGATAAGGGATCCATTAACCCATTCAAGTAGAGAGGAAGGATACATGGTATTGTGAGAGCCTCTGATGAGGGAAGTTGACTTAGGAAAGTCAGAGAAAGCTTCACTGAAGAATTAATGATTATGTTTAGTTCTGAGGAATTATTAAACATTGACTAAGTAAAGAAAGTAGTGGAAAGTATATGCATACACGTGCACATGCAGTAAATATTTTAGGCAAAGGAAACAGAATGTGCATAAGCCTTAAGGTACAAGGGATCAGGGCACATTCCAGAAAGAAATGAAATACTATATTCACTGGTTTTTCAACTTTAATTCAAAATTTAAGCCATAGTTTTAGGTGTTAAGGGTTGAAAATGCCAATGTACTCAGCTTTGAAGTACTGTTAGGCTAAATCACACATACTGAAATGGTACCCACTGTGGATAGAGCACATGAAAGTATAATCACAAAAAGAAACAAATGCATCTGTACTATTGAGCCAACAATCTGGAAGAGAGGAAAGGACAGATAAAACTGTGAAATGTAAATCTTTCTCCCAATATTTTGTCCAGCAGGTACATCTGTCTATGGAGTATACAGATACATTCCTCGAGGGCTACTTGGTTGAGGTGATATGAGCCCAATGGAGTGAATCAAGGGAGGGCTTCAAGCAGGTGCCAAGTTCTGGATTATGCTCTGAGGAAGCTATAGATTGGTGAATAAGAGGAGAGAAGATGTTTCTGGCAGGATAAACAGCATGAGACATGACTTGGTGGTAGACTATTTTATTTCTGAGATGGGAAATGTGGGGATAAATTAGGCTGGCCTGAATGGGAAAGGAAAGCAACCAAGCTTGGGGCCATCTTAGACTCTTTCTAGGACACACCAACTAATCAATTAAAAGCAGTAAAATTAAGGTTCACCAGGTACTATATGAAAATAAATAATTGGTTATTTGAATTTAGCCTTTTAAAAAATAAATTGTCATACAGATCAATCTTGACATCTTCCACTGACTGTAGTCAGGATTAACTTTCTTCAAGATTTAGAGGTCGGTGAAAGTTGCTGCCTATCTTTCTTTTCAGGGCCTTTCTGCAATTTTGTATCACTGGGACCCTACCATAATTTATGGAGTCCTGTTTGCTTAACTTTATTTTAGCAGTTAGTTACCTTGATACCTTGTAAAGTAATAGCTCTTATTTCTCTAGGCATTGACATTTTCTGAAGGATGGCTGAAAAGTCACAAATCTTTCAGACAAAGGAACCTGTCTCTGATGGAATAGCAGGTGGTGGGGTGGATGTCTTTGAGCAGGTGACCTTTCCCGTTACCTTATAAAGAGAAAACTACCTACTTCAAAGCTTGGCTTTGATTCCAATGCATATTTCTTTCCTGGGTGTTGAAAGGCTAGGTTAGGATAGAGACATGATGTAAGAGGGAGTGGATTTTATTTTACCTGTCTAATCCCCTGATGATGCAGGCAGCCCATGTACAGTATTCTATCACTGTGGTTAAAAGTGTGGAGTTTTGAAGTCATGATGAGTCAGCATTTATATCTTTAGCACTTGCCAGCTGTGTGGTTTTCAGTTGCCTCATCTTCTGTAGCTATGTGTGCCTCAGTTGCTTTGTCCTTTGTAAAACAGGGATAATAAGAGTACCTATCTCATATAATTACTGTAATGATCAGTGAGGTATATGTTTAAAGAGCTTAGCATAATGCTTGACATCTTATCAAGTTGTTCTTGTCATCATTGTCATTAGCATTGCCACCCATACCACCCCCAGGCTCCTACTCTAACAAAAAAATAAAATCTTACAACCTCTTGCTAAAAAGCAAAGATCAGCAGTCAGCACAGAAGGAAAGAAGAAAATAGGAAGCCCAGGGGCATTCACTGTTTCCTATTCTCACCCTAACCATAGCATCTCAAAGAGAATGTATAAAAACTATACTTTCTGGAATCATTTCTATAGTTCATTACCGAAGAGAAAATATGAAAAGACAACCCAATCCTCATTCTCTGTCCCTGTTCTCACAGGTACGTGTCGGCTTGGCTGGGCCTATTACTGTGCTGGAGGTGGAGCAGCTGCAGCCATGTTGATCTGCACCTGGCTCTCTTGCTTTGCTGGAAGAAACCCCAAGCCTGTCATATTGGTGGAGAGCATCATGAGGAATACCAATTCTTATGCTATGGAGCTTGACCATTGCCTCAAACCTTGAGCTTTGAAAGAAGATTGGAGAGGGTGGGAAATGGGAGGAGAGAGCCCTGAAAAGAGGTACTAAGGATTAGGCCATTTGTCATCTAACTGTCATTAGTGTAGCCTAGTGTTTGCATGTTTTTTAAACTAACTGTCATTCATTTTCACTTATCTTTTAGCCAGTAGGTCACTGGCTGTTTATAAAATTCATCTAGAGGAAACATTCTCAGACATTTACCCAACTGGCAAGTACCTGCTAACCCGAAGACCCAAAGTACTCCTTTATGCAAAATAGGATCCAAAGCTAAGGCTGGGTAAGAATAGCTGTGCAGGGAGGGAGCATGAGATGGGCAGGGCTGGTTCCTACCACTCCATTCACACAGTTCATTCCCAAGTATTTATTGCTACCCCCAAACATCTCTGGAGTACTACTGCTCAATTTTTGTGTCATTATCAGGAGTATACCTTGACTCTTCCTTTTTTTCCCCTGCTTTTCTTTTTCCCCGCTTTTCTTTCTCCCCCTGGTTGTGGGGAAGCTTCGGGAGAGGGGGGAGGGTGACTCACAGTGGGGAAAACGTTAGTCAAGGATACTTGCATTTAGCCTGGAGCCCCTTCCTCATTATGCTTTAGAATATTCATAGGCATTCATTTTGTGTTCTGACTGGGTGATGAGCAAAAAAATATATAGTAGCAAATATTCCCTAATCCTTTAGAGATACAGAAATGGTGTTCATCAAATGTACTGAGAATAGACTAGCATTTGTGGGGCACTCAATCAATTTAAATTCATGGTGACAGTGACAAGGATGTTTCTGTTAGATACTTATTGAAATTTCTATCAGAGATCATTTTTATTGACTAGGAAATCCACGGTGGCCTTTTACCCCCTATAGTCACTCCTAATGTGACATAAGTTCATCTGACTGTTTCAAAGACTGTTCGTCAAATGATCTCTCCTCCATCTGGGGCGAGTTAGCCACAAAAGAACACAGCACTGATGTCACCTAGGGCTGATGTATTTTTAGGCCTGGACTCCATCCCATCTGTGCTCAAGGTTGATGGATGGTGTAGAAGAACTTGGTGTCTCCTGGGGGCAGAGTTTGTCTCACTCCTCCCCCCTCCGACCCCAGTTAATTCAGGCCAGCTCTATTGTTCCATAACTACAGCTTTAGGGAATGGGGAGGGCCCGTGATTCAAAAGGCCAGCTCATCTGTTTCTATTCTTAATAATTCCAGCATGTTTTTGGTACAGCCCTACCTAGAGGGATAGAAATAGAAAAAAACTGGCTTCATAAGTTACATTCCATCTCATGAGAGGTCAGAATTCTTCCATTGGCTTTACATAGGTAAGTGAATTTAAATGCTTCCCCCATCTATAGTTGATTCATTACTGAGTCACTCATTCAGAAAACATTTCTTGAGTATCTTACTGTGTGACACATTCTGTGCTAAGTTCTGGGGATAAAAGGACAAAGACAGTTTCTCACCTTAAAAGGGATAGTGGTGAGGTATTGAGAGACATGTCGACAAGTACTTGTCAGTGTATTAAGTGCTAGAAAAGTGAAGAAGAATAGCTAAATGATCACAGAGAAGTCATTAAACCAACCTGGCATGAAGGGGTTCATGGGAAAGCATCCTAGCAAAGAAGATACCTAAGATGGGTCCGAAAGATGAATAGCAGGAGCTTTGTCAGCAAAGGCAAAGAGTGCACAAGACAAGCAATGATGGCAGCCAAGTCGTGGAGACAGCATTAGAATGACAGATGGGTGTAAAAAGAGGTGGCAAAAGCTGAAGTTGAAAAGGGAAGCAGTAGCCAGATTCCATGGGACCTTTTACTCCATAATAAGGCATTTGAATTTTATCCTGAAGAAGGGTCATTGAAAGGGAAGTGACATGAACAAACTTGTAGCTTTCAAAGATAAGTTTGGCTAAAGTGAGGAGAATGAAAGAAAAGAAGAGGAGAACTAGAGATATTTCAATAATCTAAGTATAAAACGATCAAGGCCTGGAGGAAGGTAGTGACTGTGAGGCCGGAGAAGACAGATGAATTTGAAAGAAGATATTTAGGAAGTACATTGTCTAATGGATATGTGTAGGAATTGGCAAGCGAAAATTTTGGGATGACCACTCTGGTATGTGAGCGACTCCTATCATCAAGATGGCAAATGCAAGATGAATAACAGGTGGTAGGGAACCGGTGATTGAATTCATTTCACGTATTATCTCCCTCATGGAACTGCATTAAGTGTTTAAGGTAAGGCCAACTTGAACATACCTCACTGGGAAGGAAGCAATGTAATGTGTTTGCAGCACCTCCTTTCTTTAAGAAAGATGACTAAGAACAGCTAAAACAAAAATGCAACTAGCTTAAACCTCAATTTTATTGTGTCGACACAATAATGCAACTTTAATTTAGGAAGGCCCACGGTATAGAGAATATGTCAAATATTTGAGAAAAGGCAGATATCTCACTTCAGAAAAGATAGTTGGATCAGGCGATCTCTCTTCTCGGGCTAGGCAACCTTCTGGATTTCTGTAGGATAGACTTTGTCAAAGTGACTGTATAAGTCAGAATCCTGCCAAGAGAAAGACGGTATACTCAAGGAGTTTAGCGGAGATGAGCTCAGTGAAAGGACAATTTATGATGGTGTGTGCAGGGTTAAGGGAACTTACCACTGATGGTGAGGCATAGAAAGAGTATGAACAGTGAGGGGCTATTATTAATACTACTCCTAACACTGAAAAGACAAAGGGGAAAAACAGTGTTATTGGCATCCAGTAAGTACTGCACATGTACAAGAGGGGCTGCCTCACAGGAGCTGTTGCTTCAGGTAGCACAATGTAGTCTCTGCCCAAATGCAGTAAGGAGGGAGAGAGGGGAATGAACACCCATATCTCACTCTCTTTCCACTCTTTGATCTCCTGCCAGTGCCCATCATTAGCCAGATCCAGCCATACAGCAGCTGGAAAAGAAGCCTGTTACTATAGTCAGTTGAGGTCAGACTCCTTTGGCACAGAGCATGGCAGGGAAGGGTGGAGAATGAAGCTTGGGGGTATGAGGGGCCAGTGGAAAATAACATTTCAGTGAGTGCTCTTAGCCACCAGGCAATGCCATTGCCTTATGCACTGCTTCCCAGGAAGTGTATGCTTTGCTTTCCTCCATGGCCCAGACACCTAAACACACTGTGAAGTAATTGGACCCTGGAAAGGAGACTGAAGAGGAAGGGGGTCATTTGAAATAACACTTTAAATAACTATCACCTTGCAGGAGTTAGTTGCAGGTTGAATTAAGTTGGACTGTTTTCTCCTGTTTTCCAATGAAAGGAAACTGGATTTAAAAGAGATTATTTTTTTTCTGTGAAGAAACCAGGCCTGCAGGGGCTTATATTCAAAGACGGATCTAGCCCCATGTTCAATTCAAATTTAAATTCCTCCTTGCCTATGTCTGGTTTCTTTCCTGCCAGGCCTTGTTTTTACATAGATGTCTGACAAGACTAGGTTCTTTTCCCCATGGCCTAGAGAAAACTTTTAGAAGCAAAATCTGTGTCTTGGGCTGCTATTGTACAGAAAGGAAGGAGAACCCATGTGTCAGGTGGAGGCTGAATGAGTGAGGTAAGAACCTAAAAGACTCTGCGGTTTGTCCCATGCCTGGCTGGCTGTCATGTTCCTTGCCTGGGCATGCAGGCTGAGTGCCTAACTATGGGCCCATTCTGACCCTGGAACCACTTAGCTCTTGGGGAGGGGGAGAGAGGTAGGAAGTGATTCTTCTGGACTAACTCACAGTCCATTTAGTATTTCATAAGAGCCCATTTTGCAAGATACTCCTTTCAGAAAATAATGTCAGATGGGCAGGCAGCAACTACCTAGTTGGCATGCTTTTGTGTCTAGAGGATTGAAATTTCTACACCTGGGCTAGCAAGTGTTAAGTCACTGGGGTGTGTCTTCAGTGGTGCTGTCTCTCTAATGTCACACCTCATTACCTCTGCTCTCAGAGGAGAAGCTGCTTTCATTCACTTACAGCTGCTAGTGACTTCCAGGCAGTGGGTTCTGCCTTGCAGGAGTGTGTGACCTGAGCCAAGATGGAAATGTTCTGGTCTCTGGGAAAGGAGTTCTGGCTTATGTAAGAGTAGATGGCAATATGAAGTCCTGGCTGGATGAGAGACAACCCTGTGAGGATGAGGGAATGAGGAAGCTTCTGGGAAGCAGAGGCTTTATACATTTGTCACATAAATTGTGCCAAGGAAAGGTCTAGCTCCTTCAATATGTGATGGGGACACTTTCTTCAGAGTCTGGCATTCGCTTTCTGTAGAAATACTCATATTAATTTGAAGTAGTTTCAAGATTGTATTTGGTCCCAAGGAAGCCTGGTGATGGGAAAAATGGAACTTTCAAGAAAACTAATACTCGATATATTTTGTAAAGGATGGAAGGCATCCTACTTGGTGGCTTGAGGGGAAAGGTGTGCTATTTCTAGAACTCACAATCAATCTCTGGCCATACCCAGTAAAGCTTTCTTAGTAGACAGCAGGCAGGGCCCCTCCAAAGAGTCATAGCTACCTTCTGTTCTTGGTTAAAGAGCATTTTCTGGGCTGGAGTGGGGCTGGAGTTGAAAGATACTTATTACTGGCCTCTCTCTCAGATGTAGAGAAATGCATTTTAAGCTTCATTTTTTTTCATCTGCTTCTGAGATTTGGCTCTCCCAGGGTTGATCTCTTCTCTAAACTCGTCAAACCCCCACTGAGTCCTCAAAGCTAACAGCAAATAAACAGTTGCTATGTGTGCACACAAATAATTTAGATTTTCATTATACAGAGCTGCTGATACATTAGGAGGCAGAAGTAGGGGGAGACAAAATGCTAGGTTTTGAATATGGCAACGCCGTATTCTCCTTCCTTCCCCTTCAGAAATGAGGCCCAGAAAATAGTACTTGGGAGTCAGGGGGTGGTGGGGTTGGGGGGCATCAGGGCCAGCCAGCATCCACATTGGCAAGACCCTGATGTTGGCTCCCTTTCATGTAGTATCTCTGCTACATGAAAGAGACATTAGAAGAGGTAGTAGAAACTATAGATGAGAATCAAAGCTGGTAGAAAGTTCAAGAGAGAAAAAGGGTAAATAAAGCGGTAAATATCAGAACCATTCCAGAGAAAGTGTCTCCTCCCACTGTAGCTTACTAGAATTTCATTTGGGGCAATTTGACTTTCTTTCCAAGATATCTCAGTATCTTCTGCACTAAAACATTGTCCTCCTAGGCAACACGGTAAAGTGAAGTCGGTCCAGGCTTTGGAGTCAGACAAATCAAGGTTTGAATTGCAGCTCAAACGTTTATTAGCTGTGTGTCCTTGGGCAAGGCAGTTAACTGAGCTTACTAACATTCTAAGATAACACTGGCTATTGGCTCCACAATTCTCAGCAACTATAGAAGGAGTTAATCATTCGGTGGCCCCATTCATTTTAATTTGCATTGATTATTCTAACGCAGTGATTTTTAATCCTGGTCGACATTAGAATCTGCTGGGAAGCTTTTACAAAATTTGATGCTTTTGTTCGTCCCAGTTCAACTGAGTCAGAATCTGTAGATGCCACTATACCATACCACCCTCTCTTTATTTTTGCCATCATCTACTGACCTCCTAGTCATCCCTCATTCATAAGGACTTTAGCACCTGGCTCAGTCTCTTCTCTATTTTTAATTCTTTCGTCCTTTTAGAAATTTCAACATCATGTGAACCAATCTTCCAATTTACTGGCCTCTAAACACTTTGACTTCTTTACCTCCAATAATATATTTTTTCTGCCCAACCTTTTTAGCTCCCACTCTTGACATCAACAATAAACACACAATCACTAAAGTCCTGATGTCAAATCTCCCATTCCTGACCAACACTTCTTATTCTTTCATCTCATGTTTTTTAACATCCCCACTCTACCAACTATTTGACCCCATCCTAGTTACACAACTAGAGTCCCTAGTTTATCATTGTAATCACCCCTTGCATAAATGTTCCACTCTTTTCCCCTCTTTAATTCTGCCATATATTTATTAAAAAAAAAAAAACCCTAACCCTGGTTAAATGTAATAATTTCCCTGCTCAATGCTTACACCAAGTTCTCACCTATTTAGAGAGAAAAACTAGCTACCCTTGCACCTTTTCCTTGTCTATACTCACCCCCTTGGTGAGTTCATTCAATCCCACGGCTTTACATGTTATCTATACCCTTGCTACACAAAGGGTGGGCTATGGTCCAAAAGCATCAGTATCACATTGGGAATGTATTAGAAATTTAAAATCTTGGCTCCACTCCAGACCTACTGAATCAGAATCTGCATTTTTAACAAGATCCCTAAGTGATTCATTTGCATTAAAGTTTGAGAGGCACTGGTCTATACCAATAGTTATCATCTTTGATTGCAAACCAGAATCAGCTATGATTTGCTAGTGCCAATATCTACTTTCAGAAGCTCTAATTTAATTGGTCTAGGGTAGGGTTTGGATATATATAAATTTTGTAAGCCATCATGTGATTTCAATGTTCAGGCTAGATTGACAACCACTGACTTAAGTACTGATGACTCCCAAGTTAATATCTCTAGGCCAAACGTCTCTGAACTTCAGGCTCAAATGTTCAACTACTTATTCCATGTCTCTACTTGGATATCTAGTAGACTTGACAGAGTGTACATATCCATAACCAAGATCCAAATCTTCCAATCCTAAACCCATTCCTTGTAATCATCCCCATCTTACTAACTAAAGAGCACTATACTTACTGGGTTTTCCCTTCTACCTCCTTGGGTGGTCCTTCTCATCCTTTTTTTTTGGATCATCTGCCTATGTTCAACCTCCCAGTGTTGAAATGATCCAGGGTACATAGCTCCTCTCGATATCTAGAATCTCCCCAGGTGATCTCATTTACATGCTGATGATGCTCTGATTTAAACATAGTCATGTTGCTCACATTTAACCTGTGCAACAGGAAATTATTAGTTTTCTCCTCCAACCCCACCAGCACTTCTGCCAAAACCTCGGAATAATCTCTGATGTTTTTCCTTCCCTGGGCTGCTACCTCCAATCCATGTGCAAATCTTAACAAGTCTACTTCCAAAATATATTTGTTATCTACACACTTCTCTTATCTCTACTATTACAACCCTAAGACATTAATGACAAAAAAGTTTCAGCAAACTGAGACTAAAAAGGAATATTCTACTATGGTAACAGGTATCTAATAAGCCTCTAGCAAACATTGTACTAAAAAAAACATTTAAGAGCATTCTAGTTTAAAACGGAAAAAAAGGACAAAGATATTTCAGCTCACAATTGCAACCAAAAATATAGGGTACCTAAGACTAAATCTTACAAAAGATGGAGAAAAATTATAAAGCAACATGGGAAAACACAAAAAGGATTCATAAATAGGTTTCATGAATGGAAAGACTTGAGATGTTTTTTAAAGCATGTCAGGTTTTTTTCAAAATGAATCTATAAATTCAATGCCATTCCAATAAATATTCTGTCTTTTTTTAGTGTAAGTTTACATGCTCATCTTCACATTTGTGTTCAGATATAAAGACTTAAAGTTATAATCATTAACAAGTGTGGTAGTGACACAGAGATGAACAAATGGATAAATGGAACAGAATAGAGGATCAAGAAACAGACTCATGATTATAAGGAAACTAGATAGATATGATAGAAATAGCATTATTAACCAATGAGGGAAGGATAGACAAATCCAACAAACGATAACATTTGGGAAATGAAATTATATCCCTAAAACACTCCATTTATAAGAATCTTAATTCCAGATGGATTAATGACCTAAATGTGAAACAATTCAAACTTTGAAAAGATAACTTAGAAAAATATTGTTTTGACTTTAATATAGAAAGAAACTTCTAAAAAAGACACAAAAGGCACAGCCCATAAATCGAAAGAATGATGCACTTGACTACATTAAAATTTCAAAATGTCTGTTTAATGAAAAGGTCAGCTTGACTTTTCTGGTCCCCTTCTGTTGGGAGTGGGCCATGTGACTAGTTCTAGCTAGTGGGTTGTGAGCAGCAGTGATATGTGCCACTTCCAGGCTGAATTATTAGTATTTGCCAGTGTGAGCCCTTCCAGAGATCTCCTTTCCCTCTCCCATGGTGACACAAAATACTCTTGTTGAAAACAGCCTGGATCCTGGAGTGAGGAAACAGTCCCAGCCAACTAATAGTGCACCTGTGATCAAAAAAGATACATTTGCTACTTAAAAAAAGCCTCATTAATGAACAGTATCATAAGCAAAATGAAAGGGTAAGCCTCAGACTGGGAGAAAAATATTTGTAAAGGTATAGCTAATGAAGGATTAATATGAAAACAATGTAAAGAGCCACAAATCAATAAGGAAAACCTAAATAACTCAATAAAAATAAAACACAGGCAGAGGGTATGATTGAGTAATGAACTTAGAAGGAAACTTGATAGGATGCTTAACTACCTAAACTCAGGGAAATACAAATTAAAGTAACAAGAAGATACAATTTGCATCTGTAAGTTTGGTAAAAATGTAAAAGTCCATTTATAGCAAGTTTTGGAAAGAAATAAGAACTGTCATCATTGCTGGCTCAAATATAAATTGGCATAGACACTTTGGAGAAGAATTTGTCAATATCTTGTAAAGATGAAGATGTAGGTGTAAATGTAGTTTCTCCTTTATGAATTTGCTGTGGAGAAACTCTAGTACAACAGCAGACAAAGACATATACAATGATGACTGTCAATGTCATTGATATCTGGAATAGAAAATGTCAAATATTTACCAGTGGGAGAATAGAAAAAATAAATTTGATATATTTACTTAATTAAAATGAATAACTTGGAGTCACATGTATGAATGCATCTCAAAATCATAATGTTGACTGAGTAAAGCAAGTTGCAGAATGGCTTCAGAGCATACCTTTTCCAAAAGTTTGAAAACATGTAAAACAATACTACATATTTGTTATGGAGTATATTTTTGTTCATCAAGTATTCATGCCTCCTCACACTACATCTTTTGCATCTTTTGGAAGAGTATATTTTCCCAGTCTATTGATGCCTTGGCCATGAGATTCACTTTGTCCAGTAGAATATTTGGGTAGAACTGATAATGTAAGAATTCTGAGCCAAGGCCTTAAGAAGCATCATATTTTTGTTTTGTTTCTTTGGGAGTTTCTGACCTCCACAATGAGAAGCACATGTCACTTGAGACTATCCCTTCAGTTTCAAACTCAGAATGAAAATACATGAATCATTGCTGCCCCAGCTGACATAGAGACCTGGGAACAAGAGAGCAAACGCTTGTTGTTGTATGATACTAGGTTTGAAATACATGAAAAACTGAACTATGCAATGTTCATATGCTGGAACATATGTAATGTATGTATATGTAATACAAACAGGAATAATAAACAGTAAATAATAAAATAATAAACAGTAAATTCAGGAGAGTGGTTATTTTTGAGGAAGGAAACAAGGAATCCTTATCCTTGTTTATTCTGTTTTATTTTTCTTCATAGCGCATTTATTTATTGTTTCTCTCTCCTTCCCACTAAAATGTAAATTTTACAAAACCAAGCAACGAGCCTTATTCGTTGACTGCTCTGGTGCAGGCATCCTACTGGCACACAATAGGCACTCAGTAAACATTTGTTGAAAGAATGAGACTGTTTACTCATCTGTAGTAAGGACAACACTAATGGTCATGCAGGATTATACTGAGGGTTAAACAAGATTATACCTGGGAATATGCATCATATTGAACCTGGCATCTAAGCGCTCAATTATGTCCGTCTTTTTTCTTTTTCTTTTTCTATTCTGGATATGTGGTTTCTCTGTTGAACTATCTCAATAATGTACAGAGCACTTTGTAATGTGTAAGGTGTAGACAAGAAACTGTTTCTTAACTGTGCAATCTCTAACAAGTTATTTAACCTCTGTGTTCCTGATCTGTACACTGAGGATAATAATACCCATCTTATATGTTGGTTGAGAGTATTAAATAGTGTAATGATATGAAGCACTTAACATGGGGCCTGACATATAGTAAATGCTCAATAAACATTAGTTATTATTACTGCTACAAAATAGACAGTTGCCTATGTGGTATCAGTTCAGGAATATTTGGCAGGCTGCTTTACTAAAATAATATCTTCCACACCAGCTTGTCATTTCCATATCTACTTTTATTACTATGGAGTTATTCTTTTGGTTTATGCCTTGTTCATTCCAGCTACTTCTTATAAGCTTCACTGGGGATATGCTCCCAATAGTTTCTTGTGCTTAATATTATGTGATATCTTATTTTCCTCTACCCCTGGACAGATGGGCAACATAAGGACCCCAGGCAAAGGTTTGGGAAGAGAAGTGAAGAAATGCATTCCAGAGGCAACCTTGGGATATTTGCCCCTTTTCCTTAAGGATGGCTCTGTTCAGAATTGCCTGTAGTCATCACTCTGTGTCTCAGCAGGAGCTAACTCTCTAGCTTCTGCTCCTTATGATATAGGTGAGAGATTAGTAATCTATGATAACTGCTTTCTCTTAGGGTTCCCAAGTGTTCCATGTTCTGAGGACTATCTCCTGCTGTACTATCTTTTATGATGCATCATCTCTCCTATTTGTTGGGGACCTGCCAACTGAAACCATGCCCAAACTCACTATATAGATGCTGTTGGCAAGACTTCTTCTTGGGCCAGGGGATATTATCCTTAGCTCTCCTGATTATAAGGCTGTATTATTTAGCTCATGCCGTATTTGATGGCTTTGTACTTAGGAATCCTTGAAGTATATTTGAAAATAATTGTGATCGACATGCAAATATGTACAAAAATTTCTGAAAATGTCCATAATTTGTCGGCTTTTTAAAAAACAACCTTCTTAACATATACTTTATACATCATAAAATTTACCTGTTTTAAGCATATGATCAAGTTATTCTCAGTATATTCATAGAGTTGTGCAACCATCACCACAATCCAGTTTTGAAACATTTATGATTGGATTCTGAATGTATTGCTTATACCAATAATCAGTAATCTTGTTGGGAATCCTGGAAAATGCCTAAAATTTAACTACATTGTTTTACGGAATATGTGGCCTCCAACAAAATGATACAAATACATTTACATAGTATCAATACAATTTTACCATCAATCTTTTCATACAATTAAAAATGCATTTAATGACATATGGTGGGGGGATGTAGGAATCATGTAAAAAACTGACCAAATTGAATATTTCCATGAAGGTTAGAAACTACATTAGGATCAGTAACTGCTAACTGCCACAAAAGAAAACCAAAGTTTCATTAATCTCAACACAGCAAAAATTTATTTCACCAAGTTTAATGCAGATTGGTGGGAATTCTCTTCCAAGCAGTGACTTGGGGATTAAGGCTCCCTTCTTTCTGTGGTACCGCCATCTTCATATATAGCATCTAAGACCACAAAGGGCAAAGGGAAAGATGGATGAGGAACACCAGCTCTTAACCTCCTGGACCTAGAAGTGGTACACGTCCCCTTTGGTCAGAACTAGCTACATGGCCCCAACCTAACGGCAAGTTTGAGGAAGGTAGGTTAATGCATCAATCATTCAGTGAGCAATTTCTCAGCTATGTTGCTGTAGGGGCAAAGATGGAAAGCTTTCCCCTTCATCCTATGAAGGTCCACTGAAAATGAACTGACAATAGGCAAATTAATATGTAAAAAAGGCATACAGATTTAGTTAATGTGTGTAGCACAGGGGAATCACAGAATGAATACCCCATAACCCAATGGGGTACAGAAGCATATATACCCTTCTTCTTAGAGGAAGGGAAGATGACGGTTGTTGGAGTAAATGTTTTTTAGGGGGAATGAATGGACCCAGTGTTCAGACAATGGTTAGTAAATAATTATTTTTGGGATTTGAATGGGATTTGAGAACAGACAATAGTTTGGGACAAAGCTTGTCTGGGCTCTATTATAGGTGTGGTGTTTAATTTTCAGTTTCTTTCTCTATGACAGGAGTTTTAATCTTCTCTGGTTAATGAAATTTCAGGGAACAGATTGAAGGCAGTTGTGTTCTTTTTTGGTGGTCCAGTTTTAAAGTAGATAAGGGGACATCAGAGAACAGCCTCATTCTGTGCTTTGGAAGAGATAGAAGATTGAGTGAAAGGGAAGCAGGGAAGGTCAGAGAATCTTTGAGGCTGCTTTTTCAGTTTAGCATGTCAAAGTGCCATACTTTGGGGTATTATTTATTGAGCCCCCAAAGTGGTCAAGCCTGTGATGCTTTATTCTTCTTTTGCTCCTTCCTCAAGCACTAAGAATGGCTGCTATATCTCACAATATTATCATTTTATATTCTTCACTTCTAGAAATTAGATTCACTCTTGGTCATTTAAAATGTGCAGTTCTCATGTATGCCAGCACTTAAAGTGAAATTTTTAAAAAATGAAATAAAATGTGCAGTTTCAGCTAGACTGCAATGTCATCTTTCACCAACAAGTGACACAAGTCAACATACTTGCCCTTCAGCCTGCAAAATCCTCATCTAAGATTGTTTGTTCTGCACAATAAAATGCTTATCAATTCAGTGAGATTAATTCTTTATAAAATTAATATATTTGTACCAACAGATATCATATGTTTATGAATCTTTAGATTGTCATCCATCAGTTAGCTCACTAAGTAACCAATGATTTTGGTCATTATTTGATGACCCTTATTTAGTGTCTGTGGTAAGTGTAATGAGGGGGTCTCTTTTTTTGTCCTCTAATCTTCTTTTCCTAAATCCTTGCCATATTCAATAATATATAACAAGAATGTACTCAAGGTCAAGAACCTAGACGTGAAAACTGTCAAAAAGGTCAGAAGACATGGGTTCCAAACCTGGCTCTGCCTCTAATTAACTGTATGATGTTGGGCAAGCCTCAACCTCTCTGAGTCTCTGCTTCTTTGTCTGAAAAAAATTATAAATTTAATATCTGCTAATGAAAATGAGTGGTTAGTGTAGCCTTCAGAAAACAACCTTGTAGCCTCTGTTGCTAGCTAACTCTCCTTTCCTGCATTCCAGGGGTGTGTTAGTCCATTCTCACACTGCTATGAAGAAATACCTGAGATAAGGTTCTGCATAGCTGGGGAGGCCTCAGAAAACTTACAATTATGGCAGAAGGCACCTCTTCAGAGGGTGGCAGGAGAGAGAATGAGTGCTGAGCAAAGGGGAAAGCCCCTTATAAAACCATCAGATCTTGTGAGAACTCACTCACCATCATGAGAACAGTGTGGGGGGAAACTGCCCTTATGATTCAGTTATCTCCATCTGGTCCTGCCTTTGACACATGGGGATTATTACAATTCAAAGTAAGATTTGGGTGGGGACACAGAGCAAAACCATATTATTCCACTTCTGGACCCTCCCAAATCTCATGTCCTCACATTTCAAAACAATCATGCCCTTCCTACAGTCTCCCAAAGTCTTAGCTCATTCCAGCATTAACCCAAAAGTCCAAGTCCAATGTCTTATCTGAGACAAGACAAATCCCTTCCACCTATGAGCCTGTAAAATTGAAAGCAAGTTAGTTACTTCCTAGATACAATGGAGGTACAGGCATTGGGTAAATACACCCATTCCAAATAGGAGAAATTGACCAAAACAAAGGGGCTACAGGGCCCATGCAAGTCTGAAATCCAATAGAGTAGTCATTAAACCTTAAAGTTCCAAAATGATCTCCTTCGATTCCATGTCTGACATCCAGGTCATGCTGATATAAGAGGTGGGCTCCCATGGCCTTGGGCAGCTTTGCCCCTATGGCTTTTCAGAGTACAGTCCTCTTCCCAGCTGCTTTCACAGGCTAATGTTGACTGCCTATGGTTTTTCCAGGTGCATGGTGCAAGATGTCAGTAGATCTACAATCCTGGGTTCTGGAGGATGGTGGCCCTCTTCTCACAGCTCTACTAGGCAGTGCCCCAGTGGGGACTCTGTGTGGGGGCTCCAACCTCACATTGCCCTCCCATACTGCCCTAGCAGAGGTTCTCCATGAAGGCTCTGCCTATGCAGCAAACTTCTGCCTGGACATCCAGGCGTTTCCATACATCCTCTGAAATCTAGGCAGAGGTTCCCAAAACTTAATTATTGACTTTTGTGTACCCACAGGCCTAACACCACATGTAAGTTGCCAAGGCATGGGGCTTGCACCCTCTAAAGCAATGGCCTGAGCTGTATCTCGACTCCTTTTAGCCATAGCACTGGAGGTGAGGGAGCTGGGACACAGGGTACCATGTCCCAAGGCTGCATAGAGCAGGGGGGCCCTGGGCCTGACACATGAAACCATTTTTCCCTCCTAGACCTCCAAGCCTGTGACGGAAGGGGCTGCTGGGAAGGTCTCTGACATGCCGTGGAGACGTTTTCCCCAATGTGTTGGTGGTTGACATTTGGCTCCTCATTACTTATGCAAATTTCTGCAGCTGGCTTGAGTTTCTCCCGAGAAAATGGGTTTTTATTTTCTATCACATTGTCAGGGTGCAAATTTTCCAAACTTTTATGCTCTGCTTCCTCTTGAATGCTTTGCCGCTTATAAATTTCTTCTGCCAGATACCCTAAAACACCTCTCTCAAGTTCAAAGTTTGACAGATCTCTAGGGCAGGGGCAAAATGCTGCCAGTCTCTTTGCTAAAGCATAGCAAGAGTCACCTTTATTCCAGTTCCCAACAAGTTCCTCATCTCCACTCAGCCTGAACTTCATTGTCCATATCACTATCAGAATTTTGGTCAAAGCAATCCAATAAGTCTCTAGGAAGTTCCAAACTTTCCCACATTTTCCTGTCTTCTTCTGAGCCCTCCAAACTCTTCCAACCTCTGCCCATTACACAGTTTCAAAGTTGCTTCCACATATTCGGGTATCTTTACAGCAAGACCCTACTACCTTGGTACTAATTAACTGTATTAATCCATTCTCATGCTTCTATGAAGAAATACCCAAAACTGAGTAATTTATAAAGAAAAGAGGTTTAATTGACTCACAGTTCTGCATGGCTGGGGAGTCCTCAGGAAACTCACAATCATGGCCAAAGACACCTCTTCATCAGGTGGCAGGCGAGTGAATGAGTGCCAAGCAAAAGAGTAAGCCCCTTATAAAACCATCAGATCTTGTGAGAACTCACTCACTATGACAGGAACAGCTTGGGGTGAAACTGCCCCCATGATTAAATTTTCCCCAACTGGTCCTGCCCTTGACACATGGGAATTATTACAATTCAAGGTGAGATTTGTGTGGGGACACAGAGTCAAACTATATCAAGGAGTTTCTTTTCTGAGATCCCTGTTCCTGAGATTCCAGTCCTTCCTTCAGTTTCTGTGGTGCTTCTCTTCAAATGTGTTTGTGGAGCTTCTGACTTAATAGGTCTACAGTGAAGCCTACGAATCTGTTTTGCAACAAGCTCTGGAGGGATTTTGGATTATTAGCCAGGTATCACTGCCAGATTATCACACTTCACTATTTAGAGTGCACAGACTATGCAAAGTTGTCCCTCAGTATCCAGGACCCCTTTGGATACCAAAACATATGGATGTTCAAGTTCATGATATAAAATGACATAGTATTTGCGTATAACCTACTCATATCCTCCTGCATACTTTACATATCTCTAGATTATTTATAATATGCAATACAATATAAATACTATGTAAATAGTTGTCATACTGTGTCATTTAGGGAAAATCAAGAAGAAAAAAATTGTACTTTTTTTTCAATATTTTCAATCCATGGTTGGTTGAATCCATGAATGAAAATCCCATGGATATGGGTGGCCAGCTGTACTTCTAACATCAATAGGAATTTCTGGTTCAAGGTAAATGCCAATTAAGAAAATCAAACGTACATGATCTCTATTTTGATTTCAGCTTATTGTAGATTAAAATGTAAATTGTGCTCTTACAGTTTTCATTGGTTCATTAAATTTACTTATACTTTCATATTCCCAGTCAAATTCCACAATTCTGTTTCAGCCTCCCGTCCCCAAGAATGCAAAGTGTTTTTTTTTGTCTGACCCTTATATATTTCATCTTTCTAGGTCAAACATGCTGTCATTACTTATACAAAATTCTGATGCAGTAGCATTCCAGGTTCCTAAACCAAACTCTGAACTCTTTGGCAAACAACTTAAGAAGAAAAGTATTTCTCATTGTTATGCAAGCTTTCCTCCTCTCTTTGACACTACAGTTCCCCACAGATCTCTAAGCTCTTTCACAGTTCTGCTCTCTCAGCCAGCACCAGCCCATCTCCACACCATACTTTTAGGTCTGAGTCAGCTGGTCCTGTAGAACATTAACTCATTAACAACACAATTGTCCCTTATTTCTGAGCTCTCACCCGACTAGGGTTGTTTCAGTGAGCAAATACAATGAAGGACTTTTTTTTTTTTAATTGCCATTCTTTTTACAGGGTAGTTGGGAAGCTCAAAGGAAGCCATAAAAATGTACTCTATGATAGATATAAAACATAAGTCAAATATAGAGTGGAGGTATAAATGGGTGCCATCCTCTATAATTTATTCTTCCTCCATTTATTTTAGAGAGAAAAAAACTAGAATCCTCATACACCTTAAATTTCAAGGACATTTATCGTTTGCATTGCTGGCATAGTACCATCCAAACATAATCATATTTATCTTCCATCCCTATTGGGTTCTGGAGAATTATGCATATTTTCTTTTGTAAATCTTCATACCAATACAGATATTAGCCCCTACTCAACCTCATTCCCAGCTGCACCACTAACTCTAACCTATCCTGCTTTCATGTCTTCAGTCACGTGCACTATCTTCTCTTTGAATTTACATTTTAGACTGTTAGATGGGACCACAGTCAAAAGTTCATTTTATTTCTAAATGATGGAAAAGTCATGAGCATTGAGATAAATAGAAGTATTAGTATTTTCAAAGTCAACAACTCAAAGAGATTTGGGGTCCGAGGTAGCTTATGATATGTGAAGGGCCACCACACTGTGCCCCACACTATTGAGCACTTTTGTAAAAACCAACAAACAAAAATGGTTTCTATTCTTTGGACAACCATGAAGGAAAATTTGTTCACAAAGTAGTATTCTAACATAGCTGTAAATGCAGTCACTCTTTTGTGGTTTAAGCTCAAGGACTACACTGGTTTCTGAGATGACGGGATCATTATATTTCCAGAGTGACGACAAGAAAATAAGTTGGGGGAAATTTTGACTATTGCTGGTTCCTAGATATGTACTCATTTATGGATTCACAGTTCTGCAAATCTGTGCATGGTGATAAGTGGGGGTAAAGAACCTTTGTGGGTGCACACACATATACAAGTTTCCTTTTATTACTTGTGGTAGTTAGAATTCTAAAAATATACTCCTAACCCCCAGCCAGGTGCCACTCCCTAATAAGTTGAGATATCACTCCTGTGATGACATTACATCATATGACACAGTTGACTTCCAGATAGGAAGATTATCTCGGTAGTCCTAATCTAATCAAGGAGCCCTTAAAAGCAGAAAACTTTTTTCCAGCTGGTGTCAAAAAGGAAGGCACAAGGAGAAGTCAGAGAGATTCAAAGCATAAGAAGGAATTGAAGTGCTGTTACTGATTTCAATATGGAGGAGACCACATGACAAAGAATGTGGGTGGTCTCTCAAAGCATAGATTGGCTCCCCTGGCTGACATCCAGCAAAAAAATGGGTACTTTCAGTCTTATAACTGCATCAAACTGAATTCTACCACAACCACATGAGTTTAGAAGAGAGCTCTGGGGCCTCTAGATGAGAATGCAGATCAGTCGCTAGCTTGATTTTAGCCTTGTAAGACCCTGAACAGAGATTCCAGTTAAACCATGCTGCACTTTTGAACTATAGAACGATGAGCTAACAAATGAATGCTATTGTAAGCCACAAAGTGTGTAGTAATTTTTAGGCAGCAATACAAAACTAATACATTATTGAATTAGTTTTTTCCCTGGATCATGGAGCTCCTGAAACCATAGATCATGTTATCTCCATGGGAAAGTCCCACTGTCCCTCATTCAAAGTCTTGTGTTCAGGAAGTACTCCACAACTGTTATCTGTTAATAAATAAGGTCA